TGTTCCACTGCACTTGAAAATGTATATTTTGCTGTTTTTGAATGAAATGTCCTATAAATGTCTATTAAGTTCATCCATTCTAATGTTTCATTCAGGTCACTTTCCTCGTTGATTTTGCCTGGGTTATCTATCCATTGATGTAAGTGGGGTGCTAATATCCCCTACTATTACTGTGGATCTCTCCCTTTATGTCTGACAATATCTGCATAAAATATTTAGGTGCACCTACATTGGGTGTATAGATGTTTATGAGTTATGTTCTCTTGTTGGATTGATCTGTTTATCGTTATAAAATGTTCTTCTTTGTCCCTTATTATAGCTTTTGAGTCTATTTTGTCTGATATAAATATTGCTACCCCAGCTTTTAAAATTTCCATTTGTATGAAATATCATTTTTCATTTGTTTAGTTTATCTCTGTGTGTCTTTTGATCTGAAGTATAGGAGCATATGTGTAGGTCTTATTTTATCTACTCAGCTACCTAATGTCTTTTGATTAAAGTATTTAGTCAATTTACATTTAATTATCGATAATTATTGCCATTTTATTAATTTTTTTATTGTTTTTTTGTGGTTCTTCTGTTCCTTTCTTCTCCTGCTCTTTTATATATTTATGACTTTGTATAGTGTTATGTTTGGATTCTTTTCTATTTTTTGTGTATCTCATAGATTTTTGGTTTGTGGTTACCATGTACTTAATATAGAACAGGATGCTTTAAGTTGATGGTTGCTTTTAGAAAACATTCTAAAAGGGCATTTTTTTCTGATACTCCATTTGTTTTGTCATTTTTTACCTCTTTTATATGTGTTTGTGTGTATCCCTTAATTTATTATTGTATTTATGCATATTCTCCTACTTTTGCCTTTAATCTTCATTCTAGCTTTATAATAGGTTGATCCAATACCTTTACTAAGTATTTGTCTTTGTCAGTGAGATTTTTCATTTCCTGTATTTTCTTTTTAGTTTTGACCTTTTCTACTTAAAGAAGTCCCTTTAATATTTCTTGTAATGTTGGTTTAGTAGTGATGAAATCCTTTAGCTTTTGCTTGTCTGGAAAACGTTCTCTCTCTTTCGATTCTAAATTATAACCTCGCTGAGTAGAGTAATCTTGGTTGTAAATTGTCCCCTGTTCATCACTTTGAAAGTTTTATGCTATTTCCTTCTGGCCTGAAAAGTCTATTGAAAAATCTGCTAGTTTTCCTATGGGAGCTCCCTTGCATATAATTAGCTGTATTTCTCCTGATACTGTTAAGATTCTCTGTCTTTAACCTTTGGCATTTTATTGTTAATTTTTATTGATTTCAGAGAGGGAGAGGGAGAGAGAGGTAGAAACATCAATGATGAGAGAGAATCATTGATCAGCTGCCTCCTGCATGTCCCCTACTAAGGATCAAGCCTGCAACCTGGGCATGTGCGCTTGACTGGAGTCGAACCCAGGACCTTTCTGTCTGCAGGCTGATGCTCTATCCACTGAACCAAATCAGCTAGGGCTAACCTTTGGCATTTTAATCATGATTTACCTTGGTGTCAGCCTCTTTGGGACTTTTTGTGCTTCCTGGACTTGTGTGTATATTTCCTTCACCACATGAATGAAATTTTCTGTCATCATTTCTTCAAGTAGGTTTTCAATCTTGGTGTCTCTCCCTTCTCCTTCTGGGAGCCCTGTGATGTGAATGTTGATGTGCTCTATGTTGTACCAGAGGTCCCTTAAACTATCCTTTTTCTAAAATTCTTTCTTTTAGATCTTCTGATTGGATGTGTTCTACTACCTTGTCTTTCAGGTAGCTGATTTGATCCTCTGCTTCATCTAATCTGATGTTTATTTATTCTAGTCTAGTTTTCATTTCACTTATTACTTTCTTCAGTTCTAAAAGGTACTTTAAAAATATTTTTTATCTCTTTGTTGAAGTTCTCTTTATCTGGTATCATGCTCATCTCCATTTCATTTAGCACCTTTACTGGAGTTTTGTCCAATTCTTTCATTTTGAACAAGTTTCTCTGTCTCATTTTGGCTGACACTGTTTTTTTTTGTTTTTAATTAATTGGGGTTACATTGATTAATAACTTTATATAAATTTTGGTTGTACAAATGTTGGGTGTACAACTTTATGACATCTGTATACTCTATTGTGTGCTCACCTACCCCCAAGTCTAGCCTCCTTCCATTACCATATATTTGACTCCATTTACCCTCTTTGCCATCCCACCCTCCCTCCTCCTTCTGGTAACTACCATTCTGTTATCTGTATCTGTGAGTATGGCTTTTTAAAAATTTTTATTTTATATCCCACAAATGAGTAAATCACATTTCCTGTCATTTTTACATCTCACTTTTCACTTAGCACAATATTCTCAAGATCCATCATTGTCACAAATGGTAGTATTTCACCTTTTATGAATGAATACTATTCCATTGTATAGATGTACCATATCTTCTTTAATTATCCATTGAAGGACACTTAGGTTGTTTACCTGTCTTGACTATTGTGAATAATGCTACAATGAATGTAGGGGTACGTACGGTTATAAATGTTTTCAAAAATTTCAGGTAGATTCCCAGAAGAGGGATTGATATGGTAGCTATCAATTTCTTTTAGGAACTGTCATACTGTTTTCCACAGTGGCTGCACCAATTTACATTCCCATCAGCAGTGTATAAATTTTCCTTTGCTCCATCTCTAACACTCGTTATTTCTAACAGGTATGAGGTGGCATCTCATTGTAGTTTTGATTTTCATTTCCTTTATAACTAGTGATGTTGGGCATCACTAGCAAATGGATTTTTAAATTTCTCCTTCTGATTATTAGTGTATAGAAACGACAAATTTCTGTACATTCATTTTGTATCCTGCTTCTTAATTCATTCTATTAATTTTTCAATGGATTCTTTAGGGTTTTCTATATTTATAGCATCATGTCATCTGTAAATAGTGAGTTTTACTTCTTCCTTTCCAACTTGGATGCCTTTTATTTCCTTTTCTTGTCAGACTGCTAGGATTTCCAATACTATATTGAATAACAGTGGTGAGAGTGGGCATCCTTGTCTTTTTTCTGATCTTAGATTTTTCACTGTCATTTATGATGTTAGCTGTGGCCTTGCCCTATATAGCCTTTCTATACTCACTTTGAGATTTTTTTTTCATAAATGGGTGTTGGATTTTGTCAAATTCATTTTCTGCATTTATTGATAATCATATGACTTTTATCTTTGGTTTTATTGATGTTTTTGTGATATTGAACCTTTCATTCCTGGTATAAACCCTACTTGATCATGGTGTATAATCTTTTTATTATTGAATTCAGTTTGCTAATATTTTTTTTAATATATATTTTTATTGCTTAAATTATTCCCCTACCCCCCAGTGTCTTATGTCCATTGGTTATGCTTATATGCATGCATACAAGTCCTTCGGTTGATCTCTTACCCCCTTCCCTCCTGCCCCCCAACCCTCCCCCGCCTTCCCGCTGCCGTTTGACAATCAGTTTGAGGCAGCTCTGCCTCTGTATCTATTATTGTTCAAAAGATTATAATGGTCTCTATTATCCATGAATGAGTGAGATCATGTGGTATTTTTCCTTCATTGACTGGCTTGTTTCACTTAGCATAATGCTCTCCAGCTCCATCCATGCCGTTGCAAATTGTAAGAGTTCCTTCTTTTTTACAGCAGCATAGTATTCCATCGTGTAGATGTACCACAGTTTTCTAATCCATTCATCTACTGATGGGCACTTAGGCTGTTTCCAGATCTTAGCTATGGTGAATTGTGCTGCTATGAACATAGGGGTGCATATATCCTTTCTGATTGGTGTTTCTGGTTTCTTGGGATATATTCCTAGAAGTGGGATCACAGGGTCAAATGGGAGTTCCATTTCCAGTTTTTTGAGGAAACTCCATACTGTCTTCCATAGTGGCTGCACCAGTAGTTTGCTAATATTTTGAGAATTTTCGTACGCATTTCATCAGAGATATTGGCCTGTAATTTTTTGTAATTTGTGTGTGTGTATGTGGTTTTAATATCGGTTATGCTGGCTTTGTAGAATGATTTTGGAAACATTCTTTTGTCTTTTGGTAGGGCAACCATATGTGCTAGTGCTGCAGTGCCCTGCTAGTTCTGCACGTTCTCTAGGTAGGGCAGTCCTGCCAATAGGCTCTCTAATGCTTGGATAGTTATGTACTTTCTCTGGGTTGGGGAGCCCCACACACATGTGTAGTCCAGTGGTTGCATGTAGCAGTGCCCTGCAGTATTTGCTAGATTAATTTGTCCTGTACATGGCACCCTTCTGTACCTGCTGGAGCTAGCTCCAAAGGGACGGCTGGGGACCTGCTACAGCAGCTCCACAAGTTGGCCAGAACTCCCACCCACTGTCCAAGTCAGGGAAACAAACTGGTGCCTCCAGTCCTGGGTTGTCCCCCAACCTTCTCTGTGGTCTCTTACTAGTTGTGCAATTGGCCCACAGCTGACTCTCAGGAGAAATTGTTCTAAATGTAGGTGTACATTCGATGTGTTCTTGGGAGCGGGTGAGCTGAGTATCCTCTTATGAGGCCATCTGGGGCCTGCTTCTGAAACCAGTTACTTTATTGCAGAACTTTTCAGAATCTCTACTATAATGTGTGTTGTGAAACTCTACGAGGAAAACATATGCTGCATTTTCTGTTTGTTCATCTGTCACCCACCCCTACTTGTGCCTAAAGGGACAGGTATTTTGAGGTACCATTTGAAGAAACATTGTAAATTATCTCTATTGTAAATTACCTCTAAAGTATAAGATGGACAAAAATTCAATTCACACTGCTGTCATGGTCTTGCCAGTTTAATCATTCAGCATATTTGCATATCAAACTGTAGCTTTAGCTAAAGGATTCAGCAATCAATACAAAACTGTCATTATCAAATTCAAAATATCCTTCCATTGTGCAGACACATCTACCTATACATACATATTTCTAAAGCAAGCTAAGCAGAGAAACCTCCATGATTCCTTCTTTTTTTCTTTAAACAGCATTTGCCGTCTATCAGTCGCTGCCTTACTTTGAATCATTTGGCACTTACTCCACAAAGCTGCCCTTTGACCTGTCCATCTACTTCCCATATGTGCTGAAAATATATCTCATGATGCTCTTTATAGGTAAGTGGCGTTTCTGTTTTGTGCTGCCATCAACCTTAACAGAAAGGCCTACAAACATGGGACAGAACAAAGAGGAAGCCTGACACAATGAGTTAGACCTTGTTAGTAAAGCACCTACGAATTATAATAAATACTTTTTTCAAGATCAAATGAACCAGAACAGTTTTACTAGCAGAAAATGAAACTGCATTAGATATTATATATGAAATGTAGAAGTTTCTACTATAGACACAAGTATCTAAAAAAATATAGATGTCAAAATAAGCAGTCGTATTTCTGATTTTTCCATTTATATCTATTTAGTTATCTGTTTGTTGCGTTCCTAGCAAGTAAGAAAAATGTATGTGATAAAAACTTACAATTGAAAAAATTTGGTCAATTTCCCAGGAAATAGGGGAAAAGACTTCCATTATTAAAGTTTAGCTTCCCCAGCTCTCACCATCACAAATCCCCAAGAATAGTGATTATCGCTAGAAGGTAACTATCAAATATATAAGAACAATACACAAAAGAGAAGACAAATGTGAAACATTAGGGGACGTGGAGAGCTCCCTTAAAGAAAGGGAAAAATGAATTCCTTTCAATAAACAATCAGTGAGATGGAGGGGTTTGCTTTACTTTCCCTTCTGCGAATCTCTCCTGCCAAGTCTGAGCCCTGGCCTCCCAGGCAGCGCTCTAACTGTATTTTAAAACTATGGTTAGTTCCAAAGAAATGGTTAATCAATCTTACTAACTTTTACCATTTCCTTCTCACGATAGGTATGTATTTTACCTACAGTCATCTTTACTCAGAAAGAAGAGACGTCCTCGGAGTCTTTCCCATCAAAAAGAAGAAACTGTGAGCAGCATTCTGCTGTGACGTAAGGAAAAACAGGCTGTGGATTCCGCTGCAGAAACACCACAGGAAGCATGCTGGTGGGGGAAGACGAGCGTGTGACAGAAATCCATGAATGACCTCCTCCCCGGACACCTCACAGCAGCCTGTTTTGAAAATATAACGTATGAGACCCTCAGACTCTGAACCACCTGTTTCTCCAAAGCTGTGGGTTTCATACAAGTTAAGTTTATATTGTATGAAGCCTGATAGTTTCCTGTAAGGGTAATGAGAAGTAGATTAACTGGTGTAGATTCAATTAACCTGAGAGACCAAAGTTGTTAAACCACATCTATTTCTTTTCACTTCCGAATTCCCCTGTAGCAGCAGATCCACGGGAGGGAGCGCTGTGAAGTATGGTCTGCAGTGTCCACAGTAACATTTTGTAGATGTCACCGTTCCCAGAGGTAACACTCATCAGACACACTTACAAAAGGAAACCATTTTCCCAACCCCGAAAGCCCATTAATATTACACAAGTTAGCTGGGCTTTGATGCTGTAAAGCAGGACCCTGATGCAAACAATAAACCTTTGATAAATACACAAATAATGCCCCATATTCCTTTAAAAAAACAGGTCACATATACCTTACATTGAGATAAAAGCTAAGAAAATTAAGAACTAGTCATGTTTCATATCATTTATTACTGAATTACTATTGTTAATTACTCTAATGTTATAAGTCATCACTTATAGCTTTGAAAATTGATCCTTTGAAGATTTAAAATATATAACTGATTAATGGAATAATTTCTGAATCACTGGAATATCATTTGCTTTTCTTGGAAGAATTATAGAATCTTATTATCCAGCAACTATATAAAAAGGGTACTTAATATTTTGTTACATAAAAACCAGGTAGTAAAAATGTATTTACAAAAAAATAATAATTTTACACCATTAAATAAAACAATCAAGCATTAAAAGATAATTTGATATCTTTATAAATTTAATGTCAGAATTTTAAGTATTAAGACTATCCTTTTTAAAAAGCTATATTTTGCTTTTAAAGTTGCTTATTTTACTTCTAAATTAAAAAAAAGTTACTGAAAACTTTAGTGTGCAAATATTCTCTTTACAAACTGTAGGTGACTTAGTCTAGCTCCCTCCCAATAAAGATGGTCACATATATTGCTGAAATATACATCTAGAATCACTAAAATGAAGATAAAGAACTAGAGAAACTATACTTTATTGGGTCATTACAAGAAATTAAAATTTAACACTTTAATTTTTAACTCAAATTACCTGAAGAACCTTCCTACTTCTTAAAATAGAAGACCAAAAAGAAACACAAGTAAATTTATAATTATGGTAATCTTGAAACAGAAATAAGGGTTGACAATAATTTGAGATATCTGCAGCATTTGTAACATAAAAAGATTTGTAACATAATGTAATTTCCTATGGTGACAATTGTTAGTATTATTGTGGTTGGTTGCTTATATTAAAATTGAAATACTGAATTTCACTAGAGATTAGTGAAAATAAGGATGTGCTTTCTTCTTCCACTCAAGTTCATGTTCCCCAGGTTAAGAAACCAAGAGAGTAACCATCTAATTAATTGGCTGTTATCAAGATTGAGAAGTTTTAACTGTGTCCATCAAATCTCCATTGTGTTTTAGTCAGTGTGGTGAAAGAGTTTCTCTAATGTAAGAACCATTTGGTATTTTGAAAGCATAAGATATGACTTCTAAATGATCTTCCTTTGGAGTTTCAAATGCCAAGTGACTTACCTGAAGTTCTAATAACTTAAGCAAAGAAATAGTAATCACAACAACAGTGTCTCTGGTGCCAAAAAACCAACAATAAAACTACCCCCCAATCACACTGCTGTGGAGAATTAACTCCATCACTCAGCAAACAGTCTGCTAAAATATACAAGGGAAACCCACACACCCTCGCACGGAATATCAGAGTCCTGAACTTTTCCTTCATCAAAGTAGTTGTATACAAAGCAATAACAAACTTCTTCCCAACATCTTCGTTTCAGTTTCATCTTACTGTAGTGTGCTTGTCAAGAAGCACTCCTATCCTGGTCTTAGCTTTTGATTCTATAAACAGGTGCACCTTAGTAGAGTGAGTTGATCCTGAGTCGGCTGTGTACACATGCCTACGTACACTCAAGAAACACTCATATTGTGCCTACAATGTACCAGTCACAGGTCAACACGATAAAACCTTTACCAAGTTTGTTATTAAAGAAGGTACCACATCTCACTGAAGTCCCTAAGAGAGGTGGTAACTTTTTTTTTTTTTTTACTATACCAGACTCTGCCTATGAAGAGCAAATTGTCACATAAAAGAATCTTTCTTCCAGAAGTGTCTGAAGTAGCTATAACATCAAGATCTAAATATTTATCTGGAGAAATGTACATTTATTTAAAATTTATGTGCAAAGACAACACAGTTACATTTTGTTTCATTGTGCTAAAGTATTGAAATGATTTAAACAAAAATGACCTTACCTTTTACCCAACATCTTCCTCTCATTTGTTTATTTCTGTCATTTTACTTTCTTCTTCTGGACCTAAGTGATATATAATTTTGATTTGGCACTTTTCTCTAGGTCAGTGGCAAACTGCGGCTCGCGAGCCACATGCGGCTCTTTGGCCCCTTGAGTGTGGCTCTTCCACAAAATACCACGTGCGGGCGCGCACGTACAGTGTGATTGAAACTTCGTGGCCCATGCGCAGAAGTCGGTTTTCGGCCTGGGCGAGTCTATTTTGAAGAAGTGGTGTTAGAAGAAGTGGGGGGTGGACATACAGAGGATGAACAAAAGGAGATAGACGAAACAAGTATACAAGACAAGTGTGGATGGGAGAGTTGGAAGGGGTCGACCTCAGCAAACGTACCTCAATCAGATTGAGGACTTTTTAGCAAAGGCCAGCTTAGGAGTACCCTAATTAAGTTAATAACAATGTACCTACCTATATAGTTTAAGTTTAAAAAATTTGGCTCTCAAAAGAAATTTCAATCGTTGTACTGTTGATATTTGGCTCTGTTGACTAATGAGTTTGCCGATTACTGCTCTAGGTCATTTATTCGAAGTAATTCCAGGGAGCAATGTCACAGAGTTAACCAGAGGGCCTGTTTGGAATGCAGATCCTCGGGTTTCCCCCTAAAGATCTGCTGAATCAGAGCCATTGGTAATGGCCCAGGAACCTGCATGTTGACAGGCCCCTCAAATGAGCCTCACGCTGCAGTTTGAGAACCACTGCTATTGAGTCTAATGTACTGCAGCTTTGGACGGAAAACTGCTAATAACTATTTAAATAAAAGTCAACATACAATGTTCTGTTTTTAAAACAGATGATGACATTCATTTGTTAATCCTCACCTGAGGATATTTTTTCAGAGAGTGGAAGGAAGGTAAGGGGAAGGGGGAGAGAGAGAGAGAGACATCAGTGTGAAGAGAGACACACAGACTGGTTGCCTCCTACATGCTCCTTGACCAGGGGCAGGGAGCAAACCGGCAACCCAGGTATGTGCCCTTGACCAGGAATTGAAAGAGACCCCTCAGTGTGCTCTAACCACTTAGCAACACCAGCTCAGGCTAACATTCATTTTTGTTCTTATGCTTATCTAGTTTTTAAACATATTACATTATGCTTATCTAGTTTTTAAACATATTAAATAAGAATTGTTAACTATAATATTTGCTAAGGGTAGCTGGCGTTTTAAATATAACAAGGTTAGTCAATTCTATATGAAAATCAATTCGTAAAACATATCCCTTAATTCATGAGATACTCATAGGGGCCTGTTGTGTACTCACTTTGTGGTATTCAGCTGGACTGGGGGTCCTGTGAGGGAGAGGTAGTCCGGAGGTAGAACTGGCCTGGATTTGAAATCCTGCTCCAATATTTACTACCCTTCACGCCTGCATTCAAGCATCACAGCTGCTATTTATTTTCAGTGAAACATAGAAAAGGGGTAGCATCTCCACTGCAGTTTAGAATTTATAAAGCATTTTTGTATTCTTTCTCTTAACCCCCTACAACTACTTTGGGAAGTTGGTTTTATTTCCTGGATTAAAGGAATAACCTAAGTCAGGGAGCCATCACTGTCATTTTCATTCAGTTGCATATTCAGTCATTTAGCTGGACACCACTTCACCAGTGCTCTAAGTCTGACAAGAACTGAATGACCTCTCTAATCTGCAATTTTAAAAAATGTACTGTTTGTGAAGATTAATCCATTACATGCCAACTTAAGCACTAATAATGACCCGTATCATACATTTTAAAAGAACTCCCAGATTCTGAATAAAGTATTTCCTTCCAGGAAATATAAGAGCATATTACCTTGTCCTAGGCCAGAGCAATGATGATACGCATTTACACATGAAGGTGATGCTGTGGGGCGGTTTCCACACGAGAGATGAGGGATGTGAACCGTCCCATCCACGTTCAGTCCCGTGGTTCCAGGTGAAATCCTGCAGCTAAGAATAGGCTGGTTTCGCCATGCTGGTGTGGCTCAGTGACCGAGCGTCGACCTATGAACCAGGAGGTTACTGGTTTGATTCCCTGATTCGATTCCTGGTCAGGGCAAATGCCTGGGTTGCAGGCTCAATCCCAAGTAGGGGTATGTAGGAGGCAGCCGATCAATGATTCTCTCTCATAATGGATGTTTTTATCTTTCTCTCTCCCTTTCCTTTCCTCTTTGGAATCAATTAAAAAAAAAAAAAAGAAAGAATAGGCTGGTTTGTGTCACAGATACAAACTGATCAGAGATGTAGCCTACAACTCGGGCTTTAAGGAAGGCCCGTCTTCTTAACCAAATGTTCTGATTTCTCTTCTAAAACAGCAATTTACCAAAATATTTACCAGAAATCTAAAACTACTGCTTACTTTCAAAGCGTCTAAGTTATTTCAAGATACTAGTTGAGCCCTTAACAAAGTCTTATTCCTTATACCATCACAATATCAATATCTTTGGTTAAGAGCCTTGAGAAAAGCTAACTCTGGCAATTAACTTTAAAAAATGGTTATTCACAGCCTATTAGTTACCATGGAGCCATCGCATTACAAGTAAAACACAAAGGTTTCAGGCACTTACATGAATCCTGACATCTGCTCCAAGCATACACTTTTCAAATCAAGAACCATGGTGTTGGGACATTTCTGAGACACCTGGCTTTAACCCCACACGTTAATCTGTGAATCCGTCCCAGCATACGACTTGTCTTGGCAACTTACGACTTCAAAAACTAACCGGAGATGGCCTGTAAGGAAACTTATCCTTTTGGATATATTTGGGACACCTGGTCTAAAAAAGCAGAGGCTTCTGGTTTCCAGAGAATGAAGTGAAATATCCTAAGAGGATAATTTAATTCTTACCTGAGGTCCGGCGGGGAACCGAGTGACCTATTCCGGTGACCTATATGTTAGAAGGCTGGGATTTTAGAACTTATAAGATTATCAAATTTACAACCTTCCATTTTAGACTCTAGAGGTTCCCATGAGTAGGAAAATCCCATACATTTTATGCTCAAGGCTGCTGGAGACAAAAACAGGGAGCCAGGGAGGAGAGGACTAAGGTCTATCTTACCCACTTTGTACTCTTCTGTTTTCTTGTCAAAGCCAGGGGCAGGGACAAAGTTTGAATGGGAGGAGACTGGGCTGAACCAAAAAAGGAAGTGGGGTTTAGAAGTCTGGGCTGATGCTTCACTCTTTCTGTGGGCATCAGTGAGCTCTCAGGGGGAAATGCAGAGCAGTTCTTCAGAGTGTTACACAGTGAAACACCAGTGTGTGAAACCTGCCAACTGCTCTTTACTGCCGCCCAGGTTAGCAACCTGTTCTGGGAATCTCAAATCCTTCAATCCACCAAGGACCTGTTCCTTTGCACCGCAGCTCCTAAACGTCCCAATTCCAGAGACTTACTCACGGGAGGCAGGATTGCTTCTTTGATCTGATTACAGAAATCTACAGTAATCATATTAAGCCATCGGTTTAATAAAGCACATTAAACCATAAGCACGTGAATACCAAGGTGTAATCCTTGGTGGGAATTTTCATCTTAAAGTGAGTGTTGATGAGCCTGAGGCAGTGGAAAGAGCACTGGACCTGCGGTTCTAGGAGCTTGGTTCTAGGCATAGCTCTGCCGCTTATTGGATGTGCCTTCTCCATTTAAAAATAGAAAATAAGGCCTCGTCACAGTATTGCTGCAAGAGTTAAATAAGATCATACAAGTGAAAGCTCTAGCGCACTAACAGTCTGGCATCTAACAATAAATATTAGATAAATTTCAACCTCTCATTGGAGGAGATTTAAGAAAATGTATGTAGGTGGGAAAAAGAGGGAGGCTGGCTTCTAACATAAACTTTCTACCTCTCTGCTTCCTTCAAATTCACTTCCCTCTAGCCCAGGCTCTAAAGAAGATTATCTGTGAAATATGGGCAACGCAGGTCAATAGTACCCGAGAGCTCGCCTTCCCTTCCCTTTTCTTCTGTAGGAATCTCAGCACCCTGTGGAGTTCAGCAAAAGAAAGAACTGTGACCTGGTAACAGAGTATAAGTTACACAGTGAGACACAACTGTTGGAAACCTGCAAACATAAATCCAGCTATTTGAAAAACAAAATCAGTAGATCTATTTTTAACCTAAGTGGTAGGTAGGTACACTTGGTGACACCATCAAGGGACTGTCCCATGGGAATACTGAACGTTCCGGGTGCCTGTAAAGCAGCAGGCACTGCGCCATAGCATGCTGGACACAAAGTCCATTACCCAAACATTTCTCCCCGACGATCCACAGGTGTCCTCCTCAGTATGTTTATATGACTGGCTAAAGGCAAGCCTGATTAACGACTGCATGGAGGAAAGATAGTTAGCAAATATCAAAATTAAAATGCTGGCTGATTCTCAAGCCCTTGAGCAAAATGCAACTCTTGAGGATATGGTCACATACCGTACCTTCATTTACTTGTCATGAGGCCGCTAGCCGTCCTGATTAAGACAGGGATTTGTACTAATAAAATAGATTCATCTTTGAAGGCGTATTTGTCACTTTTTGCTTGCCTAGCATCCTAATTCAGGTGGACCAGGCCTGGTCAAGTAGAGGATCCCACTTCCCAGGGACTCACATGTGACATGAGATGAGTCCGAGTCCTCCCCATGTGGCTGCTGCCATCCCTGTGAGCAAAGACACCTTTCCTTCCACTGAGGCTGCTGGCAGCCATCTTGACAGCTATGCGGAGTGATCCTGAGAGGAACAAAGCCCGGGGCACGGTCTGACTCACTGGATGCTACTGTGCCTGAGCAGATCTATCTTTAACTTCTGGTCTGTGAACTAATGACAGTCTCCTTTTTAGCTGAAGCCATTTTGAATTGGGCAACTTTCACTTGCATTCAAAAGCCCCAAGCTCAGGACAATCAGAGCCGCCGCTCATCGATCTGGTTTAGCTCACGGTTAACACCACGCTTATTATTTCAATGTGTCTGGTGGTTACAAGAGAGTATTTCACCAACAAGGATAAGAAAGGCTGTCTCACTTACTGAGCCAATGGGTGTCCTCCAGAGGCTTCATGGGAAATAGATGAATATTAGATATTTAATTCAATATTTAATGAAAAGGTAAAAACAAACCCAAAGACCAACTGACCCTATCATAAAGTTAGGGTCCGGGGCTCACTGGAGCAAGCATACCCGTACTGAAACTATTTGAACAGGCACCTACAAGCCCACAGCTTTTCTTATCTGTCACGGGCCCCTCAGGGATCAACTTACTAGTAAGATAGGGAAGCTCTGTGTAATGCCTCCGGCACCACCAGGGTTGGGTTTGGTTAGCAGAACCTAGCCTATGCCTGAAAACAAATAAAAGTCACATGCACAAAATTCATGGGACTATTTTACTAGAATCTGGGAGAGGAAATGATAGAGTCAAAGTTGTACAAAGAAAATCTTCAGATTGAACTCTAGCCAAATGAAAGAAAGTTCAAGTTCTCGTTTCATCCTCCACTGGCCTGGGTACGGAAGCAGCGTCTCCTTTCCTGGCACTCAGGGTTCAAACCGTCAGTGATGTGGCCTCCCTCTCATGACCGTGAGATGCATCACGTCTCAGGGGTCCCAGACACACATTCTGAAAAATTCCTTCCATTTGCGTAGTTTTCCTCTTCCGGCTGAGAATGTGGCTGGCTACGGCAAAACTGTTCACCAGCCGTACGCTCTGGTCCATACTGCTTTCTTCTTAAACTCTGGGAGAACTCTTAAGGACAGCAGGGTGGCTAAGGGGACAAGAAAGCAAAGTGCGCTGTTGCATTTGGTGGAGCTGCATTTGCAAAGGTCATTTAGATCAAAAGAGTATCAGGACGGTCAAGACCAAGGATTTCCACCGAGCTTTAGACAATATTTTAATGGCAGAAAACCATTAATAAGTTTGGGGGAAAGTTTTTTTGTGTTTTTGTTTTGTTTTGTTTTGTTTTTTTTGGTACCAGTTCAGGGGAAATTCTGCACAATTAAAACAAAAACTGACTTCAGGGATGCTGGTAATATTCTTTTTCTTAATCAGGGTGCTTATTAAATAAGTGTGTTTCCTTTATAAAAACCTACTTATGACTTGAGTATTTTTCTACATGAATATTATTTAAAAATAATCTATATTATTTTTACACTAAATATTTAACTACAAGGTAAAAACAAAACAAAACAAAACCAAAGACCAACTGACCCTATCTTAAAGTTAGGTTCAGGGGCTCAATGGAGCAAGCATACCTGTACTGAAACTATTTGAACAGGTCCCCACAAGTCCACAGCTTTTCTTATCTGTCATGGGTCCCTCAGGGATCAACTTAAAATAGGGAAGTTCTGTGTAATGCCTCTAGGTAACATCATATATATTATTTTGGAATACTAATAGAAATATACTGAGATATTATTTAAAATATAATAATGTGAAGGAATGGAGGTAAGCCAGAGTTACACAATTATTGTGTGTGACTCTAATAAAGCCCTTGAACAGATAATTGAGCTAAACATTTACTTTCTTAACCCAAATTACTCTTTTCCTCATCAGTATCAATTCTTTGTTATCTTCATAACCTAAGACAGTATATGTTGACCCACGGTCATTACAAATGAGTCCAGACTCCCCCATGCAAACAAATGGAGGACATCCTAGCAGCAAATCTCTAGGGATGGATCTAGGGGAACTATTTCAGGCCCCAGCCCTATTCTCAATGAAGTTCTGTGACTGATCAGAATCACCTGCACAGACATGTCCTCCACCCTCTTTGTGGGTAGGGAGAAGAATCAGACACAATACATTAGGAAATTCTCACTTGTTTGGCAAATAATAAATTATGCCATACTTAAAGTAAAATGTGGTCATACTATGACTCTAGTCTGGAGATAGGCCTGATAGATTATCAAAGGTAGGCCAACATGCAATCTTCCCAGGTGAACCATTTCAGGGCAGTATATTACAGCATATCCGGGTATCCACAGCAGCTATTGGCAGGATACAACCCCTGCCCACCCACCCACAGAGCCAGCCCTAAAGACTTCTCTTATTTGATTAAAAAAAATCTATATAATTTTCACAGAAATAACTTCTATGTTTGTTGTCCCAACAGTCATAGTTTAACAAATCAATAGAGGAGTACTATAAAAAAAAATCACAAAAAAACATATAAATACCTGGGAAATATCCAACTCCCTTGGCAAAATACCAGGCAGCCATTAAACATACTAGGATGAAGCTAGTATAAGAAAAGGTTAAATGCTTTAAAAAATAATTTTAAAATATAAAAGGAAGTATTCAAAGTGTCTGTGTATTTTCTCAATTATTTATAATTTTAAACACGTTAAAACAACACATACACAGAGGGGGCAAAAACTTCTCCGGAAAAATATCAAAGTTATCACTGGCCAATGGGATTCTGGATTCCTCTTTGCTTTTAATGAATTTTCTAAGTTTTGGTTAAAGTCATATTTTACAATTATAATAAAACATTTTAAAAACCATCTAAAGAAAAATTAAATGCCCTGAAATTAAAATTAAATGCACTGAAAAATTAAATCCACTTTCTAATTCCAAAGGCCACACTGGTGGCAGCTCCGAGTTTCTGGTTCAACTGAACCAGGACGAGCCCCTTCAGGAACCAACACCCACTCAGATGCTGGTTCGCAGCGCGGACAGCACTGGGAGGTTTTCGCCTACACTGGGCAGGAAGCACAGAAGTCATACCTTTTAAAAGACCCCTGGATTCCGCAGAGAGGCCTTCCTTAGGACTTTCCATGAGGTTGAATAGCCAATCGATGAACTGGAGTGAAAATGAAGAAGAGCAGCATCAGTCAGAGACCAGTCAGCCCTTGGGCCTGCATCCATGCGGATCAGAGCAGTAGTCCCTGGGAAGTACCTGACTGAGCTCAGGGGAGGTCCTGGGAAAAGGGACCAGGCACAAGGGTAAAGACAGACACAGCTCCCATCTAGTCAGAAGACCCTCAAAGTCAAACCTCCTTCCTCGCTGAATACCCTGAGACCTGCTAGAGGTTTTAAGAGTGAGGGACACATGGGCCCCGAGGGACTCCTGTGTGCCATGAACATTCTCTCTCATTATTCTGAGAGGTCCAGATTGGTCAAAAACCTTGCCCAATTTCACTCTCATTGAATAGCAGAGTCAAGATCTGAACTTAAGTATACCTAGCTACACAGCCTCACACTCGTGCTGTGGTCAGTGCGGCTCAGGTGGTTGAGCGTCATCCCACGCACCAAGAGGTCGCAAGTTCGATTTCCAGTCAGGGCACATGCCCTGGTTATAGGCTCCACCCCCAGTAGAAGAGTGGGGGGTGCAGGAGGCAGCGGATCGATGTTTCTCTTTCATCGATGTCTGTCTGTCTCTCTCTCTTTCCCCCTCTCTTCCTCTTTCTTTAAAAATTAATGAAAAAGCACCTCACACTATTTCTTCGCATCCTGCTGCTTGCTACCCGGGTCTGTGTGCAGCCAAGCCTAGGCTCCTAGGCTGGGCAGTAAACGGGGAGACTCATCAGATGTAAGCCACTGCTTCTAAAATAAAATATGTTTCTGTAGATAAGAGCAGTTTATGCCCAAATGAATATAAAACAGCAAGTTGAAATGCAAAATAAAAAAAGCATAACATAATTTGCTAGGTAGAGCCAAGTGCGTTAACTGCACATAGATCCTGCAAATGAGGTAGAAACTCATAGTCTTTATGACTTTGGACTGATTTCCTACGGTGCAGCCAAAATTGTTTTTGAATTGGATATAGGGTAATTTCATTGATTCCTGAATGTTGCCAATCTTGACTCATTTGAACTTTGGACATAGAAGCTGGGTTGAAGAAAGAGTAACATAATAAAGAAAACATTCCTAATTCCCTGCTTTAATTAAAAGTTTTCTTCTTTGTTTATTTTTTTCTCAACTTTGCTTTAAAATATCCTACTGGTAGAGTAAATAAGTCAAGCACTACAAACACACAATAGATGCAGGATGTTTACATTGTAGTTCAAAGCAAGCCTGGTGTCCTAGGCCAAAAATAACACGAGGTAATAAAACATTTAAACTGATTTTCATTTATGACACAGAAAACACAAAAGTTGGGGCAATACTACTAATGCTTATCAGGTTTAAGAAAAGAGGCCTTTTCACTGAGATGCTCAGGGGAGTTGTGCATAGCTAAACTATGAGTTGGCAGCTCAAAAATATTTTTAAAGATTAGTAGTCAGGTTTTAAGAATAAGCCACAAAAAGTTAGTTTTAAGCTTTCAGCCTCAAAAAAAAATCCAATTTTGATTAAATGGGATTCAGAATAGAATCCTCCAAAACAACTGTATTAAAATAAAGACAGGTCAAGGCCACGTAACGAGAATTCTGGGAAGCACAGTACTGTCATCTGCTTGGCAGGACAGTGAGTAAGCTGGTGAATCTTAATATCAAAAGCGTAAGGGACTTCCTGAGGGCAGGGGCGATCGCCTCACATCCCACACATGTCCCCACAGCCTCCAGCACAGCCCGGAGCATGGCGGCGCCTAGAAGGCTACGAGATGATGGGTGCTCCAGGCTCATGTTTCCCCTCAGATTCCCTGACACCCGCCCCCAGGCACTGCTGATCACCCCACCCTTGATCATCACCACTCTACACTCCTTTCCCTCTTTATCATTCCATCTTGCAATCTTGAACTTGTCACCTTCTGAGCTCTCAGAGCTTACTCATTGTTTTGTCCCCAAGATCAAGAACACATGTGTCTTTGATAAATGAACGCAGGCAGAAGCA